GAATGCCGCCCATCTCAGCCATCTCCATGTTGGGGCTTCTCAGCCCTCGTTCCCCCATGAAACTCACAGCATCAAGGTGACTCCTGGAGTGTAAAAGGCTCCTGAAGCCACCGCTCGGTCCCACTAATAGGTCAATGCGCGCGGGAGAAAGTAACACCGCAGTTATGCCTATGAATCTGCCCTGATCGCATTCCTGGGACTAATTGTTTGCAGATTCTAGTACTTTTTTCCCCCTTTTTCAAAAGAGATTTTTGCTGTAGGGTGCGTGTACTCACTGGAGAGACAGAGATAAACAGAGAAACAGAAAATGAGAAACCACCTCCCCCCAGGAGTATGACCATGCCACAACCCCTTCTCTGGATTTGGAGTATACATGCACATGTGCCCAGCATGAATTTCAAGATGCCAGGCCTGGGACTCAAACCACAGTCAGCCATGTGAGAATCCAGTGACGTAGCCATTATGCCATATGCTAGTCCCTCTAGTACACTTTTTATAATGAGTTACTCTCAGCTGGCCATGACACAACTTTTCAAAATGCTGAAATCGAGTACCACTCTTCCCTGCCTTAGGGGCCCAGGAAACTGGGCATTTGGGGATCTCAGAGAGCGCATTTACTTTGCCTGGTGATAGTCCTGTCGTGCTGGGGGCAAGCCCCAGGGTAGCACTCATTAATTCTAAAAAATATTCTCACAGCAAAATTGATACTAATTTTATAGGCTATGGGAGCATCACAGACCCTCAGAGGCTGTTCGTCCATTTGGCCCCTCTGGGCTGCAGGAGCTGGGACTCTGGTCCCAAATCAAAGTCTAGAACCCAGACGTCCACTGCGGTCTGCTCCGCCCAGAGGTGCTGTTTTCCTCTCTTGCAGCTTTTCTTCCAGCTTCTTTTCCAAGTTGATTCTGCCACTAAGGATCTCTTAGGGCTATGAAGGGAGAAGAGAGTGTGAAACAAAATGATGCATCTGAGAACCCCTTATTTATCCTGTATTTCAGTCCCCACCAGACAACACTAGATCTGAGGAACCATTGCTCATTAAAATGAGGTTTTATCCATTTGGTTTTGGTTCATTAGCAAGGATACAAGGGTGCTTCTAAGTCCTAGACGTGCCAAGCCTGGAATCTTTCTGTTGACTTTGTCTCCTGGAAGATAGGATGAGACTGGGGTCCAGATGGAAGGGCGAATGGGTCCTCTGGACAGAGGAGCAGGGGAGGGGCTCTCAGCTCCCCTCTGTCCAGCCTACAAGGTGCCCCTTCTCTACCCATCTCCAGGTCCTGCCAAGGACATACAGCCCACCATGAAGTTCGTGATGGACACGTCTAGATATTGGTTTAAGCCCTGCATCACCCGAGAGCAAGGTAAGAGAAAGCACTGTTTCAGGAGACATGTGGCCAGGAAGCAGGTGTGAGTCCCGCACTCTGTGTCAGGCAGATGGGGCCGCAGGTCACGGTAAAGGAGGCAAATAGTGAGCCCAGAGAAGGGGGCTGGCCTCATGACCTCAAAAAGAAATAGGAACTACAGCAAGAAGAGCGAAAGTTAAACGAGAGGAAGGACTTTCTAGCCGGCCAGTGTTGCTCTAGGAAACCCTGGGGGCTACGGCCAGAGGGGCAACAGGTGGGGCAGTTTCTGTCTCTGACCCAAGAATCGTTCCAGCTATCGACCTGCTGAGGAAGGAGGAGCCAGGGGCTTTCGTCATACGAGACAGTTCTTCGTACCGAGGCTCCTTTGGCCTGGCCTTGAAGGTCCAGGAGGCCCCTGCATCTGCCCAGAACCGACCAGGTATGCTCCTGTCTCTGTACTCACTCAAGGCCTCCCCCAGTGACAGAGTGTGGTGGGTTCTAGTCCTACCTCTGACACTGGCTTTCATGGTGACCTTGGCCCAGTCCCAAAATGCCTTCTGGGAGGAGGGTCCACCTCAGTGCTCCCCAGATGCCCTCCAGCACCAGGCATGGAGAAAGCTCCTTTCACAGCAGTCCTGAGCCACCCCCCTGCCATCCCGAGTCCCCTAGAGTCCCTGCTCTCCCCAGATGGTGGGAAGAGAAAGAACTTTCTTCCAGGTACCCACCTCTGTCCACACCAGATTTATCTGGTGTAATAATATCATGTGTGTGTGCTAGTTTATCACATATGCGACCACTTATCATGTGTATAATAGCTCATCACACTTGCTTGATAGCATGTCACATGTGAAGAGCTCATCACACATGTGTGACAGTCTATCGCATGCTCTTCCACGATCACGCAAGCTTGCTGGGTAACTCAGCGCATCGCTGTGGGGCACCTGCCATGCACCAGGCACTGTGTAAGGAACCAGGGATGCAGGGAAGAATCAGACAGATGCCACCTCACTGTGGAAATAGAGGGACACAGATCTTGACAGGACAAGACCTGGGTAATCGTCCCTCACCAAAACCCCAGGATTGTACCTCTCATTTAACTGACCAGGTAGCTGAAGCTCTGAGGTTGGTTAATGACCCCAGAACAATGATGTGACAGCTCGAGGATGGAAAACCCAACTTGTGTTCTTTCCGCTAGGCCTCGCTGTTGGAACAAAAAGGCAACCCCTATGGCCATGTGGGCTATTGGGGTTACCTTGTGAGAGTCAATGAAGCCAAGTTGAGGAGGAAGCCAGAGGCCAGGGGAAGAGGGGGGGTCAAAGGGCATCGTTTGCCCTTCTGGGCCAATCTGGCTCCATGAGGAATAATCTGAGTGAGAATAATAGTACCTGGGCTGGGGTGAGTAGAGGAAGAGAGAAACCAGGCTGAGGGGCTGAAATCCTCTCTCCCCAGTAATGAAGATGCATCCCCAGTAACTCTCTACCAAGGGGAAGCCTGCTGAGGGAGAGACTGCCGGACAGAGAAGCCTTGAGCAAATGTACTGGTGCCTCCTTTGTAGGAGGCCTTGAAAATAGGATTCCTTCTGCAGCTTCCCCAGAGGCAGGGGGATGGACGAGATGACCTTTGGTGGATCCGAGGAGAGTAGGTCGGAGAGGAGCTGGCCAGTGTTGGGCTCACAGTGGGCTCTGGGCTCCCTCCTGCACGCACTGTCTTCTTTCTTCGTCCAGGCGAGGACTGCAGCGACCTTATCCGACACTTTCTCATTGAGTCTTCTGCCAAAGGGGTGCATCTCAAAGGAGCAGATGAGGAGCCCTACTTTGGTGAGCCTCCCCGACTCCAGGGGTGGGGATCTGCCCTTCTGAGCTGTGCGGGAGGCGGGAAGGCCTGGGGAGGCCTGGGGAGCCCTTACTCACGCAGGGCGGCCTGTTTCTGTTCAGGGAGCCTCTCCGCCTTCGTGTACCAGCACTCCATCATGGCCCTGGCCCTGCCCTGCAAACTCACGATCCCACAGAAAGGTGGGTCTGGGCCCCCAAAGAGGCAGTGCTGGGGCATGGAACCTGTTTATTCTCAGAGAAGCCCCCAGTGGCCATTTCTACCTTGTCGAATGTCACAGTCGAAGTGCATGTTCTGGAGCCGGTCGTCTCCACCTCCCAGCTGCGAGAATTTGAGAACGTTAACCTCCCTGGACCTGTTTTCTCATCTGTGAAATGGGGACAGTCATCAGTGTACCTACACATAGGACTGGTGTGTGGAGCCAGCCAGTGGCATGGTGTTTAAGGTGGCTGGATCCCACATGGCTAACCACATGGTTCAAGTCCCAAAAGAGAAATGGAGACGGGATTGCAGCAGATCATCCCTCCTGAGGAGTGATTTCTCACTTTCTCTCTCTCTCCCTCTCTCTATCTCTCTCTCTGGCCAGCATATGTGCCCTCTGGCAAAAATTTTAAAAAGAAAAAAAAACAGACAAACAAAAACGATTGGTGTGTAGGGACCAGCAGTTAGCGTAATGGCTATGTCGCTGGACTCCCACGTAGTCGACTGCGGTTCGAGTCCCGGACCCGGTGGCTTAAACTCACACCGGGCGCATGTGCGTGCGCACCCAAGATCCCAAGAGGAGAATGGAGGAGAAGGAATTGCAGCATGGCCATCCCCCCTGGGGGGTGATTTCTCGCTTTCTGTCTCTCTGTCTGACTGGTCTGGCGAGCGCACGCGCCCTACAGTGAAAATCTCTCCAAAAAAAAAAAAAATACGATTGGTGTGTAGATTAAATGAGCCAGCTCAGGCAAGGCTCCTCACAGAGCACCTGGCCTGGAATGCATGGTTGATAAAAGAGAGGATAAAAGCGTCTAAATCAAACCATTTGGAGGTTTTTTTTCCCCTCCAGGTCCAATATTTACCAAGCCTGCATTCACTCAGTCACACTTCACTGCACCCCGCACAGTGGTAGCGCTAGTATCATCCCCATTTCACAAATAAGAAAAGGAGGGTCCTAGTGTGAAGTGACTTGCCCACAGTCAGATCTCAAACCCAGATCAGCAAGCCCCGTTCAGAGCACAGCCGTGCCCCGGCACCCCTGCACCCCCGCACACGAGGAGCAGGAGAAGCTCCAGAGGGGGCATTTTCTGGGAGAGAAATCAGGGCAAGGGGATCCCAGGTGGACTAATGGTGAGATTCCCTCACCATTGGTGAACAGAGACGAGTTGGAATGGAGTCAGGAGGAAGTGAGGAGGTCAGGGGTTTGTGAGGACAAGGTCACAGTAGCAGGCTGGGGTCTGGAGGAGTGAGGGGTGAGGAGGGAGGGGGGGTCAGAAGGTTTGCAAGGCATTTGGGGAGCCCAGAGTGGCACCATTTGCCTCATTAAGGTAATCACACCTGGTTTTCTCAACCAAGTCACTTCCTGGAGGTGGGGCAGAGGTGGAAGGTGTTTAGAGGGGATAATGAGGCCTGTTTCAACGAGAGGGTCCATTCACTCCACCCCCGGCCCTTTGCGGCCCTGTTGCTTTGTCTTGGCTCAGAACTGGGAGGTGCAGATGGGGCCTCAGATCCCTCTACAGACAGCCTGGCCTCCTGCCTGAAGAAATCTGCGGGTGAGTGGTGCGGAGGAGGCGCCGGGCCTGGCCGTGCCCTCAGAGGGTCCCTCCCAGCCCTGCGCACATGCACACGCGGGCCCACACATGTTTTCCATCATGGCTTTGTTTCTGCATCTTTCACAGGAACTATAAACCCCACCTCCCACCCCGAGCAACCAGGAGATGAGAGGCTGCAGGCCCTGGGCGGCAGGGAAGGGGGGTGGCAGGGCTCACACCCCATTCCACGCACGTATGGGCATGCCCGTGATACTAGCTAGGATCTCTCTGGGTCTGAGGTAGCTGTCCTGGAGGTGTCAGGGTCTGAGTCCCGGTCTGGGGTCCTCTGGGATCCTCTGAATGTCAGGTCTGGGTCCTGGGGGCTTCAACCCAGGAAAAGTCCATCCTCCCCCCAGGTCCAGAGGCCAGGCAGGTCAGCACTGTCTCAGTGACAGCTCCTACCATGCCCCCTAGCAAGTTCCCCTCCCTATTCTGATCTCTGCTGCTCTGGACAATGAACCAGGCCCCGAGGCAGGGCAGTCCTGGTCTAGATGGATGGAAGGTTTTCTGGGCACCCCTACACAGGCAATAGCCCCTCCCTTACCACACCTGAAAGGCCAGGGACCTCGGACATTGCAAAACAACAGATCATCCCAAAGTCCTCTAGGTCTGGCCTCAAATTGCACCATCTTCACACTCCCTGCCTGTTTGGTGGCTCAAAGAGGGGCCCCATCGTATTCATAGAAGTAACAAGCACCCCCACTCTGGCTCTGGGCAGAAGGAAGGCCTGGACTTAGTGATCCTACCATCCCATGGACCCTGGCAGTGGCCTCAGTACAGTATTCGTGTCCCACAGGCTGCCACACCTTGTACCTGAGCTCAGTGAGCGTGGAGACCCTGACTGGAGCCCTGGCTGTGCGGAAGGCCATCTCGACCACCTTCGAGAGAGACATCCTCCCCACGCCCACCGTGGTCCACTTCAAAGTCACTGAGCAGGGCATCACCCTGACTGATGTGCAGAGGAAGTAAGGGCCTCCCTTTGACCGGGGTGCAGGGTTGGGTGGCGTAGAGCTGAAGGGATGGCTGAGACGGCTGTGGCTTGGTGACAAAGACCCGAGAGGGCTGATATGTGCCGGGTGACTCCAGGCAGGTTCCCTTCTATCTCCAGGCCTCCCTTCCATGACCTCTTGCCAGAGCCCCTCCGTGGTGACTGACAGAGAGGGAATTGCCTAGTGTTCCTGGGCACTGAGTCCGTCTCCCGGCGACAGAACCTCCGACCCTGGCTGGCGCTGGGCCACGGAGAGGAATGAGATCGCTCCCTCGCTGGCTCAGGGACTCACAGTCTAGCAGGAGCCTATTCTGGGTTGGGCACTTTACAGGCAGGATCGGAAGTCCGGTCCTCAGAAAGGAGGTTGGGGGGCTGGGTAGAAAACCCCAACGTGCAGGGCACAGGCGGCGGCACTCTGAGAGGAGAGAAGCGCGAGTGCCCAGCGCCTGGCAGTGGGAAGTTCTAAGTGCGAGGCTCCTTGGAGGACCTCAGAATTTCAAGATGCCTTCTTCCTGGAGGCAGACATGACCCTGGGACAGATCTCACCGACCTCCTTTCCCGTCCCGCCTCCTTCTAGAGTGTTCTTCCGGCGCCATTACCCTCTCGCCACCCTCCGCTTCTGTGGCATGGACCCCGAGCAACGGAAGTAAGTTCAAGACCGGGCCAAATTCAGGGCCTAGGTGCCCGCCAGGGGTTCTGCTGACTCTGGAACTGAGATCACAGAGTGAGCCTGGGAGCCGTAAAGGGTCAGGGCGACAGGAGGGCAGAGTGGGGCGCAGCTGGGCAGCCTGACCCGCAGCTTGTCCCTCTGGCTGGCTGCGGGGAACAGGGCCACACCTCCATACTCATTACTGCCTGTCCTTTCCCGCAGATGGCAGAAATACTGCAAGCCCTCTCGGTAAGCCTTCCCACCCACTCCGTCGCTGTGGCAGGGCCCCACCCCAACATGAGGGAGCTTGAGAAGGAGGGAGGCCCCAGCCTGACCGTGAGAGCCCATGATAGTGATGGGAGTCCAGGCCCTGGTCCTCAGAGGACTTCGTCTGTGGGAGATTGTGACCCCGCTATCAGAGAGCCTCCAGAGATGAGACTGGAGCCCCAGCCTTCTGCAAGAGCCACAGGTTCTCACCCAAGGAGCCCCAGCCTCGCTCTCCTAGGGATGCCCCAGTCCGGTTGTTCTCAGGGAGCTTCCACTCTAATGGGGAATACACAGGGTGCCCCCATTCAACGGAAACCCAGAGGTTGAGCTCATGGATCTCTCAGTCTGACAGAGAGGCACCTCCTTCCCTCAGACAGCCCCCCATATATTGAGGTGCTAGACCCAGTTGGCCAGGGGAGGGGCAGGGAGGAACGCAGTGGAGGCTGAATGCTCCCCTGTCCCCCAATCAGCGTGACACCTTCCTGCATCCCGCCTCTCACTCAGACTGCTCTCTCTCACTAGAATCTTCGGGTTCGTGGCCAAGAGCCAGACAGAGGCACAGGAGAATGTGTGCCACCTCTTTGCAGAGTATGACACGGTCCAGCCAGCCTCGCAGGTCATCAGCCTGGTGGCTGCTCTGCTGCAAGACACAGAAAGGATGTGACAGGACAGAGCTGCCTGTGCTCCTTCCCAGACGCCTCGGGGGGTGCTGCCCAAGAGCCCACCTTCGCCTGCCTAAAGCAGAACAGCATCGAGCTGCAATCCTTGGCCACGCTCTGACCTTCGGCAGTCACCTTCATCCAGTCCTCCTCTCCTCCAGCACCCCTGCCTCAGTTTCCTCAGCCATCAGAGGAGGCCAATAGACAAGTTCAGCTGTTCTCAGACCTTGGTGGGTGTTTTAACATGCTCCTCTGTGATTCTGAAGCACACTCGTATTCAACGGCCCCTGCAAGAAAATACCTCCCAGTATCCTCTGGCTCCGTCTGCGTGGACACTACAGGCACACACTCTGAGCGAGTGGCCCCTGCTTCAGGGCAAATGGCAGGTGCTGGATCGGAACACACGGGGCTCCTGGCCTGAGGCTGGTGATAATACACAAGGATTGAGGACGAAGACGAGGTAGCCAGACTCTGTGTCCCTCGACAGCTGTTCCTCTCCCTACTTTCCTGGTGGTCTTTTAGAATCACCTGCCCATGACGTGCAGGCCCCATGGAGAAGGCCCTGCTGCCCCCCCAATTCTTGATGTCTAGGCCCCTCCCCACCTTGTGAATGAGTATCAGCCCCAGGTTTTCTATCAGTTTTTAGATGCAAGTGTGCATAGCTGGTGTTGCAGCTGCCCTGGCGTTGCTTGTATAAACGGCATCTGGGAGATGGGACAGGAAGACCTTGGTCCTCTAGAGTAGATCTAAGGGCCAACCCTCTGTGGTTCTTTCTTAGCTCCAGTCTTGCCAAGTACCCCCAACCCAGCACACACAGACACCCACACGCACGGGCACACCCATGCACACACCCCTCTACAGCCATGCAGTGTCAACTGACCTCACAGCCACACGGGGGCAGCAGAGAGTCAAGAATGCAAAGAGGCCGCTTCCCCCAAAGGCTGGGAGATACTGCAGCCCTTCCAGGCCACCCCTTCACCCCAGGCGGCCCCCAGAAGCTGGAATGGTGTCTAGCAGGCCTGGGTTCCTAAACAAACCCTAGCATGAGGGCAGGAGGGGAGGCTCAGGGAAGAAGCCCACTCCTGCTCTAAGAGGAGTAATCTGCCTCCTCCCAGAGCTAGCCCTACCAGGGCATCATTATCTTTGGCCAAGGCTGGGCCTGACAAGTTATGATTTCAACCCCAGCAACCAAATGGCACTGGAGTGAGCCTGGGTTGGCTGAACAGGCTGAGGCCAGCCCACCCAGTCCATGGTCAGGCCCTGCCCCATGCCCAGGGCCTATGGAATGCTGGACAAGGTTCTTGAGGTCACAGTGCCCAGAGTCCCCAATATACTCTCAGTGCCTGCGTAGCCCCCATCACAAAGAATAAAGTGTCTGTCTTTGCATGACGGCTGGTTCTGAGCATTCAGGGTTGTCCTCCCTAGAGATGGAGGCCTGAACAGATGGGCCCATGGCTTGGAGGTGGTGGCTTGTCTTAGTGAAGACCAAGTATACCGCTCCCTCGCATACCCTGGCCATGGCAGGATAGGCTCTGCTGGCTTCTTCTTCATGAACCATTGCTTAAAACACTGTACCCCCCACATCCCAATACACCTGTCTTCCTTCATGGCCCCTTTCCTGCCAGTCTCCCAGGGACACAGAGGGCTAGGGTTACCCAGTGTCCTAGGCCCTAAGGTGAGTGCGTGTGGCACCCTTGATGGGTTCCAAGGCCTCACAGCCTCCCTGAGGGGCGAAGAGAGGCAGTGAGATATGAGCAGCTCCAGGGAAATACAGAAGAGTCCCTCAGCCCAGAAGGCTCCTCAAGTTCCTGGACAACAGTCCCTTCATCCCACTCTGGGCTAGCTGGCTGCCTACCCCTGCAGGCCTAGGGTAATGCCCCCTTCTGACTTGCTCCAGATCCCACTGCAGTCAGGGACTCGAGGATGGCATGCCAGAAGAAGGCTCCTCCCCCCCCCCAAGAGGTTCCGGAAGGGTACGGTGCTTTCTACAGAGTGTAGGAATGAGATGGCTGGGTGGAGTGGGTGATGTGACCCAGTGGCAGGGGCTGCTCCAGAGGGCCTGTGAAGATACCTTCCCAATGACCTCAAACTATTGCCGGGTAGACTCTGCCCCCCAGTTCCACTGTGGGACTCCCCTCAGCCCCCGCCCCAGGCCATGTTCTCAAGAGTGATCATCTGTCCTGGGTTTGCTATAGCTCATCTTTCCTTGGGTTGGACTTTGCTCCCAGGCAGAGCAGCCAGTCCAGCAAGGGCGGGAGGGCTGGAGGACAGAGGGAGGGAAGGACAGCCACCAAGCCAGGAGCTGGGGGCGTCTTCACCTCCACATAGGGACATGTCTGCTTTCTCTCCAGAAGGTTCCAGGCCTTGTAGCCTCCTCTCCAATGTCTCTTCCCCAGTTCTCCCACCCTTCCTGTCCCATTCTCTATCTCCATACACAGGTACGCCACCGGCCCTCCCTCACTTTCCCTCTCCCACTTTCTCCTCATCCTGCCTTTACCCAGCCACTCCCAAGCTCTCTCTTAACACAAAAACCTCCCTCTTTCTCCTATCCAGTTTAATACCCTCTGGAGGCTGGCCTTGCAGCCAAGTCCAGCTGCTGCAGCAGCAAAGGGAAGAGGGCAGCCCCCACCCCCTGCACCACCAATCACTTTTCCAGACTCAGAGTCCCTTAGCCCTACATCTGCCTCCCCTCTGGCTAGAAGGAGAACTTTCCAGAAAGGCTAAAGCACCCTCGCTCATACCTGCATCTGACTAGCCACTGAGGGCCAAGGCTCATCTCTGCTGTTTATCTTTGGCCCCCAGTCCTTAACTCTTGTGCCATCCAATCGTCTACGGGCTTAGAACCAGGGCAACAGGCCTTGGTTCACACAACAAATGTTTTCCTGGCTGCATGCTTTGTTCACGTGAACCAAGAAGACAAATAACTATGATAATGTCATAACAGAGGTTTGTGAATACCATGCAGGGCTGGTCGGAAGAGTGGAAACAGGGAAAGATCAGCTTTACCCACTTAGAGGGCAATGGTACCAACAGGGAACATTTGAGTTGGGTCTTCAAGGATGAATAGGAGTTTGGCATGCAAAGAGGGGAAGAAACCAGCCTTTGTTGAGAGAGCTTCTATATCCTCCATGTGAGGCATATTATATATGTCTAATCCCATTTTCCAGAATAGAAAACTGAGGTTCAAAGGTTTAATTTGCCCACAGTCTTCTAACTAATGGCAGAGTAATAGGATTTCAAGTCCATGCCCATTGTAGGGCCCCAACCTTCAGAGATAAGCAGATGGGCAGCTTTGTGTGTGAAGAACATAGGTATGAAAAGATGTACCATGTTCAGTGTGGCTGAAGTAGATGGTACCCAAGGGAGTAGGTAAGTGAGGAAGCAGAGGGAAGAGCAGAAGCAGAGTAGTCAAGAGCCTTGGATGTCAGCTGAGAACGCCTAGGGAGTAAATACTCATCGCGTGAATAAGTGAATGAATCCGGTTGTACTCTGGACCCCGTGCACAGTCCTGCAGGTTGCACAACGCACAATCGCCACTAGCAACCTGCTTGGACTTCATTCATCCTGTAGGTAATCAAGGAGCAATTGCCGAGATTCGTGCTTTAGAGCTATAGCTGTGGGGGCGGGAGATGGGATCTGAGGCCTGGGAGGAGGAGAAAAGAGATGGAAAAAGAGGTCAGACCAGGAAAGGGACGAGAGCCTAAGACAAGAGGCTCTCAGTAGAGGCTGGGGCAGACGCCTGCTTGGTCTGGGCCTGGGTGCCTGATTCTCTCAGCTTGGAAGTATCACATGAGAAGGGGCAGGACCAGGGGTCCCCAGTCCCTTGGGATTTATCAATCTCTTCGGGCCACCATAACAAAACACCGTAAACAGATGGCCACCTTCTTACTGTGTGTTCGCATGGCCTTTCCTTGGTGCGCATGCATCGGGTGGATAGGGAGAAGTCGCTTTCTTTTCTTTTCTTTTCTTTATTTTTTTTTAAAGAATTTTTTATTGTTATTCTGCAATTTGACCAAAAAGAGAAAAAGAAGGGGAGAATGAGAAAGTAAGTTGCCAGGTCCAGAACACGAACCACAGTCAGCCATGTGGGAGTCCAGCGCCCCAACCCCATGCCACCTGCCGGCCCCACTTTCTTTTCCTATAAAACCACCAATCTTATGATTATGACCTCATTTAACTTTCATTTTCTCTATAAAGCCCCATGTCCAAATACAGGCATATTGAGGGTGAGGGCTACAACATGGGAATGGGGGGGGAGTATAATTCAATCCATTGCACCCCTCTATTCAGGGCCTGACCCATCCGTGTTCCCCAATCCCGCCACTGCCCAGTCCTAGCCAGGCAGGAGCCCTCAGTCCCAGGAGAAGGTCCCCTCCTCTTCCTGCCTCTGCACTCTTGGAGCTGGAGTTTTGTAACTCTCTGCTGCGTGAAGGCGTCTCAGCCCCGCACCTTTCTCCAGCTGGATCCAACCAAGGGCAGGGTAGGGGTATGGAGGATAAGAACTTGGCTTAGAGTAGGCCTGGGACAGGGAGTCAAGCCAGGAGGATGGATCTAGAGACACAGAGACAGAGCACACTGAAGAGGACGGGATGACACTCACTTGCTCGCTCACACATTCAGCAGTACGTGCTGAGCTCCCACGCGGACAGTACACACGGAGCAGACCGAGCTGGGCAGGAGGTGGGGCTCCTACAGGGGCCCCAGGAAGCCACGTGCTCTCCTCCACAGCATTCAGATATTTTTTTACCACCCCCACAAAAATTCCTGACACAGCTTTAATATTGGACACTCGGTGAGCACTGAAATGGGTGTCTTAGTTCGTCCCCGCTCCCCCTGCCACACACACACACACACACACACTTCCGCAGATCCGGGTGGCAGGTCCCCTCTGCCACTGACTAAGCTGCATGGTTTGGGCCACGTCATTTCTCCAGTCATTGAGCCTCAGTTCGCTGGACTGTAATACCCATCCTACAAAATTAAGGTTGTGGGAAGCATACAAAATACACGAGACAGGGGCCGGCCGGTGGCGTGGTGGTTAAGGCAACTGGACCCCACATGGCCGACTGCGCAATTCAAACAGTCTCAGCCCCGACAGTTTGGAAGACATGCCAGGTATGTGAATGTATGTGCCCAAAATCGTGACAGGAGAAGTGGAGAAGGGACTGCTGAGTGACCATTCCCCTGAGGGGTGTTTCCTCATTCTTCCCCTACCTCTCTCTCTGGAAAGTGCACACATCCTCTGGAAAGTTTTTTTAAAAATTAAATACACACACACACACACACACACACACTAGACAGGGCCAGGCAGTGGCGCAGCAGTAGCACAACTGGACCCACATGACAAAGGTCCTGGGTTCACATCCTGAAGAGAGATGGTTCACACCCTGTGCACACACATCCATGATTCGAGCTGACTGAGTCTGGGGGTGGATCACAGTGTGAAAATCATGTTGGGTATGCCTGTCCCTTCCCTCTCTCTTGCTACCTTTCTCTCTTTCTCATGAAAGAAGTAAATAAAAATTTTATGTGACTTTTTTATTATTGCTGTTGTTATTATTTTTAAATTCTGCTATAGGACACATGTGCTCATCAGAGAGACAAAGAGAAAGAGAGAAGGAAAGTGAGAAAGCAGGGATTCAAACTGTGGTCAGCCATGTGGAAGTCCAGCACCTCAACCACCATGCCACCTCCCGACCCCAATATGTAAAGTTTTAAAAACGCATACGTAGACCAGACATGAAGGGACTTTTCAGCCTCTGGAGCACTGTGTAAAGTGCTGGCACTCCTACTGGTCTGTCATTGAGCACTAAGGCATGCCAAGCACCGTGCTCCTGAAATGGGAGCACCACTGAGCCCCTGGCACCTAGGACAGTGCCTGGCACACATTAGGCCTGTGCAAGTGCCTGCTGGGAGGTTGGCCAGTTGTCCCATTTAGCCCTGACAGCAGCACTATGCAAGGGCCATTATTTGTCCTCCAAGCAAACTTGCCTTCTCCCGCGATGCCTGCCATCCCTCTTCCAGGGCATACCTCGTTCACAGACACCCCATGCCAGATCCAAGAATCCTTCTTAGGAAAGACAAGGAACCCGAGAAAATCCCCCAGCTCCTTGAGGGTAGATGGAATGAGAAGGGAAAGCAAAGAAAGAGAAGGCTAGCCCAGACACTCAGTAGTTAAGAGATCCAGATTCCATGTGGCTAACCATAGATTGAACCCTTGCCCCAGCAGCTTGAAAAACACGCCAGGCCTGTGTGCCCCAAATCCTGACAGGACGGAGAGATGGAGTGGAAGGGATCACAGTGTGACCTGCCCCACTAGGGGGATGTACTTGCTCTCTCTCTCTCTCTCTCTC